TTGGCGAAAAAAAGGGGTTGTGCAATACACACTCGATATATGTGAGAGAAGGTCAAGCACCCTTTCCGCCAGACAATGAAGCACTTTGGGTTTTGTCGAATAGCGAGCGCGGATCGAACGATCGCATGCGGTGGTGACGACGACGGCCATGTGTGCAAAGGCTTTTGCGATTTTCCATATATATATATATACAAAACTTCCGGTCGCGCAAGCGTCGCGTGTGTCCAGCTGCAAGCTCGATTAGGAAACTTGGTCGAAAGCAAAGCCTTGATATAATGCAACCTTTGGTACGCTTAATTGCTTATTCATTCGTTTGTTTGCTTCGAGATTCAAGTCTCTCTTTCTCTCTCTCTTTCTCTCTCTCTATCTCTCTCTCTCTCTTATGCCGAGCGTTATATTCGTTATGTCTCTCGCCTAGTCGGCAAACTCCAAATATCTATATGCTAATTTCATTTTAAGTAAATGTTTAAATTTAAAAATGAGGATTTAAAGATACTCAACATTTTAACTTTTATTCTAATATCTTTTGCTTTTTCTATATTCATTCATTCTATCACTGAAAAAAAAATTATTTCCCTAATAGGAAAAAATTTGAAATTATCTAATTTTACGCAATGAAATTGTTTAGAAGTAGAAAAAGACATTTTAGTTAGACAATGTAATTTTATTTACACTTTTTTTATAAATTATTTTTATATAAAAAAATGTTTCAAATTTTTTTTTTGTTTTTTTTTATACCGGTTATTGAGAAAAATAAATTACAATAGATTTTCTTTTACAACAGAAGTATTTCAGGTGCAGATTTGTAAAATTCTCAAAGAAAGCAAAAAAGAAATAGTTAAAAGAAGCTAATAAAACTCCTTTGAAAATGTGTCCCAAAAGCTTTAATCAAGAAACTTTGCAAAACTTTGATATATATATATATATATATATATATATATATATATATATATATAAGTAGAAAAAAGTGTAGAAACTTATAAGTTTCCACTTTCCGTTCAGGATTGCAAAATTCTTTACTAAAAGTTGCTACTTATTCTTGTCTAAAGTAACGCTTTCCTCCGTCTTTTAAGACTCGATTATTATTTAACTAATTCATTAGACATTTCAACTGTACAGAAATTTTACTTTTGTCCAATATTTTTTATTATACAAGAGTCATATTAAAATTTGTTTCAAAAATTAGCAAATAATTTCTCACAAAAGGTAAAATTTTTACTATACTAAAATAATAATTTTTGTTTTTTTTTATGTCTGATTTTTTTTAAATTTAATACTTTTTAAATATCAGACTAATATAAAAAAAATTTCTACTCAAAATTTTTTTGAAATCCTATAATAAATCCCTTATAAGTGGCATTTAGTAGAATATAATAATTATTATCATCGTTAATAATCGATAATGCAGATTATAACCTTCTACTAAAAAAATTAAATGTCAAAGGACTATTTTTTCAGTTTATAAACTTTTTCCTTTTTTTTAATTGCAAAAAAAAATTATTTAATCTTGCAAAAAAAAAAAAATAGTAGACAATTTATTATAAAAACAATTATTTGAAATTTATTTATTTTTATATTAACAAAAAAAATTATATACTCTAATTAATATTATTATTATTATTTCATAAATATTAAATATAAAAATTTTATTACAATTTTTGTCAAAAGTTTATTGTATATGAAAAAAAAGTTGTTTGCCAAAATATAACGATAAAAGTATTAATGTCATATATTTCCCCCCCCCCTTTTTTATTATGTGTAGAGAGGCAAAAATTTAGGATATAATCAATCAAACTTTATTTATCGCCAACTTTACTGACATACGAGTTGTAATGGATCAGTTTTATACTCTAAGCGTTCACTTCATCGATATCATTTAAGCTCTTGAAATGCTTACATCGATGTACCTATCTTTCATTGGAAACCTCGTTGAAAACTTTTTAAAAGCTGCATTCAATATATATGGAATAAAAAGAGGAGAGTTAGTTGTATTTAAAAAAAGGCATTTCAAACACTTCTCGTTTTTAGAATTTTTCCATTAAAAATCACAAATTGCAGTATTTCAATATATCCAATGAAATTTTGCGAAAAGAAATATAATTTTAGAATTATTTTAATTTAATAAAATAAAATTGGAAGATTCTTTAAAATAAATGCAAATTTTTTTTTTTTTTTTGATAAATAATTGGCAATTTTCCAGTCCGGCAAAGTCATTAGTTGCTGTAGTAGAAAAAAAAGCTAACATGTCTGACCATAACGTACTTTTTCCACTTAAAAGGAATATAATATTGTCTTGCATTCGTCTGGATCCACTTGGTAAAGCAGCCGGATATTACTCAGAAAGGGTTACTCCTTCAAGTGGAAACGTAATGCAATGGTCAGACAAGAGAAAAAAAAACTTGACGTTTCACTGGTATTGCTTTTCTCTCGGAAATCAAATACTTCTCTTTGATGCTCCATTATATAAACTGCAACTTCAGTTTGCTTTAACAAAATTTATTCTCCCAAAAAAAATAAACACAATTATTTTACATTATTTTTGTAATAAAAAAACAATTTTTTTTAAATACAAAAATATTGACTTATACTACTGACAAAAAAAAATATTACATTACGTAACATTATGCCTGACTGAAACCGATTTATACTACTGAAAAAAATTACACAAAATATCCAGTCTGACTGAATATTTAGTTTTACTACTGATTTTTAAATTTAATCATTGTGCCACGAAAAGAAATCCAAAAGTCTGACCAAATATTTATTTGTACTACTGTTACATTACATAAAATTTGCCTTAAAAGCCATTTAGACTACTGAAAAAAATTACACAAAGTGGAGAAAATCTGACTAAATATTGACTTGTACTACTAATAAAATTATGAACGTTTACGAATGTCTAACTTGCACTACCTGAGAAAAAATTACGAACGTTTATAATGTCCGACTAAATAATGACTTGCACTACTGATAAAATTAAACATTTAAAAAGTCTGACTATATATTTACTTTTACTACTGTTTTTTGGTAAACTAAATTTTGCGTCCGAATAAAGACCGATTTTTACTATAGCGGTACAAAGAGAATAAAATGGAAAGTCAAACTAAATATTGACTTGTACTACTGACAAAAATTACAAACGTTTCGAATATCTGAATAAATATTATCTTGTACTACATTGAAAATTGCATCCACGTTTAAATAAAATTAATGTCTGACTAAAACATTTTTTTCTACTTACTATTCTTTGAAAAATGAATTCTTATTTAAATGTCTGACTAAAACAATTTTTTCTACTGCAATTTTTATCGTGAAAATTCGTACCTGACGAAAATTGTTTTAACTACTTGAATTTACAAACGACATTTAAAATTTAATGTCTGACTAAAAAGAACTGTTTCTACTTACATTTTTATGAAAATTGCTGTCTGACAAAAAAAACTTTTTTTCTACTTACTATTCTTTGAAGAAGAAATTCAAATTTAAAATGTCTGACTAAAACAATTTTTTCTACTGCAATTTTTTGTGAAATTTCATGTCTGACGAAAATTATTTTTTTCTACTTCAATTTACATGTGCCATGTAATATTTGTGTTTAACACAGTTCTAGCTACTTAGGTATTTTTTTTATAAAAAGTACTGTCTGACTAAAACATATTTTTCTACTTATTATTCTTTTAAATAAGGTAATTCAAATAAAATATCTGACCTAAACGACTGTTTCTATTGCAATTTTTTATTGTGAAAATTTGTGTCTGACAAAAACTGCTTTTTCTACTTGAATTTACTTACGACATTCAAAATTCAATGTCTGACTAAAAATAACTGTATCTACTTACATTTTTGTAAAATTACTGTCTGACTTAAAAAAAAATTTCTACTTACTATTCATTGAAAAATAGTCAAATTAAAATTTCTGGCTAAAACAATTATTTCTAATACAATTGTCTGACTAAAATCAACCTCATCTACTCACGTTTACATAAAAAGAGTTCAACTTGAAATGTCTGACTGAAATAATTTTTCCTACTTACTATTCTTTAAAAAATGAATTAATATTAAAATGTCTGGCTAAAACGTCTTTCTCTACTTAAAATTACAAAAATAGTACTAAACAATCAAAAATTGAACAAAATAGTGTGAAACAATATGAAATATAAAAATTAGTATAAAACAGAAATAAATAGTAAAACTAATATTAAGTGGTAAAAAATAATATTAAGTAAAAAGAATAATATTCAGTGAAAAAAAAATATTAAGTAGAAAATATATTATTTAGTATAAAAATATTATTAAGTATAAAAAATATTATAAACAGCAAAAAAAAATGTAAATATTACATAAAGTATATAAATTAAATTAAAATTAATTGTCGAGCAATTAACATGTGAAATTGACGGGAGTGAAGAGTGTTGTAGGCAATTAATAAAAGTATCGAGAGTTGAGAAATCCGTTTATCGGTTTACACTAAAAGGAGTTGTATAATTAATTGGATAGTCCTTATTATATACTTAAAGTACATAATCCTCTCCCAGTTTAAACATGATAATTACCACCTTCTGATATACTATATATATATATAATATAGTGAAATATAGCATGAGTTCATAACAAGAGCGCTATAATGAGCGCTCACCAATGCTATATCATTTCTGTCAACAATAAGAAATCTGATAGTCTATGTAAAATATTCTCATCATCGTATTACCATCTCAGATCTCTTTTAGTTCTTAAGAATTCTCTCTCTTTCTCTTTCTTTTCGACTTTTATCATTCAGCTTGCTTGCATTTTCATTCATTTCAAGAATATTTTATATTCCTTTTTTTTAAATCTCTTTCAATTTTTAAATGCTGTTTTATTTATTAATATTGCAGTAGATTTTTTTTTTATAAAATATTAGATGAAAAATCGTTTTACATACATTTTTATAGTAATTTTTCTTTATTTTAATTAAGTAAAAATATTTTTTAAAAAACTGTTTTTTTGTTTTTTTTTTGCAGTTGTCACAGTGTTGAGAGCAGACATGCCGCAAAACATGAAAAACGTCCGTCGCAGAAGCTCGAAACCTCCTGGCCATTCTCCCTGTAAGTTTATTTGGATCTCTTTTTGTAACGCTATATATACTTTTCAAGAAGAATAACAGAGACCAATTGAAAACATCGATATATTTATTCTTCACTTTGCAATGAACTTTTGTTTAAGAGAGAGAGAGAGAGAGAGAGAGAGAGAGAGAGAGAGAACAAAAACCGAAACATATTTCCAGTGATAGTAATTTCAATTTACTTTTCACAAATAGAAATACAAAAAAAAATTGGTTTCATTAATCAAATGTGAAGAATCTCTTTTAATGGAATTAAAAAGTAAAAGCTGGAATTTATTTTACAAAACAACATTTTGCTCAAGAAAATATCTCTTTATTTAATTATCTGTAAATTAACTTGAATTAGAAATTAATTTTTTTTTTAATTCTTCAGTCAATTTAAAATTCTATAGATAAATTTTTATTCAAATTAAACTTTTAATTTTTTAACTAAAAATTTCCATGTTATTACAACTCTTGTTACTCTCTAAATCTGAATTAGTAAAAAAGTTTACTAATTTGAATTAGTGACTCACTTTTTGCTACTCAATTAGTAAAATTTTACTAATTATTAGTAACTTTTACTAATTATTAGTAACTTTTACTAACAATTAGTAAAATTTAACTAATTCTAAAGCAAAAAGTGAGTGACTAATTTAAATTCCTAAATATTTTTACTAATTCAGATTTAGAGAGTAATTAACGCAATTTCTATTTGGCGAAAATTCATTTAATTCGATTTAAGCAAATTTTTATTTAGCCGAATTTTTAAGTATCAAAATTTCTTTTTTACTGAATTTTTATTTAACCAAACTTTCATTTAGCCAACTTTTCATTTGTTGGCATTATCTTCTTTAATAATTAAAATTTCTAATTAAAATCCGAAATTTTGTTTGGCCAAAAAAATAATTTAAAAATGAAAACTTTAGAAAATTTTTATTTGATCAAATTTTTAAGTGTTAGAATTTCTATTTTGTTGAATTTTTATTTAACCAAACTTTCATTTAGCAAAATTTTATTTAAAAGAAAAGTCATTTCTGTAAAAAATGAGAATTTAGTGTGTTAAATCAAAATTCTGCTAAAATTTCCACTAAATAATAATTCTTATGAATGAAAACTCAAAAGAAAAATTTTGTCCAAATAAATATGCTATACAATAAAAATTGTTTAATAGAAAATTCACTTAGTAGAATTTTTTTTTTTGGTTTAACAAGAAAAATTTTGCTAAATAAAAATTCGTTTTAGTGGAAGTTAAATAAAAATTTTGGTTAAATAACATTATGCAAAAAGTATGTTAAATAAAAATACGTTTTTAGTAAAAATTCGGTTAAATAAAATTAGACAACAAAAAAATTTGTTAAATAAAAATTCAACCAATTGAAAATTCGATTAAAGAGTAAAATTTCTTTAAATAAAAATTTCTAAATAAAAATACATTTTAGTGAAAATTCGTTTAATTATTTAATTAAAATAAAATTTCCTTAAATCTTAAAATTTGGCTATATAAAAATTCGACTAGAAGAAAATTTGGCTAAATGAAAATTTCGGTTAAATAAAAATTCTACTAAATTCAATTAATTAAAAAAAAATTTAAAAATCCAACTAAATGAAAATTGAATTAAATTTTGCAATTTTCATAAAAAAATTCCAATAAAAAAAATTGTTTTTCCTTTTTCTCTCTCACAAACGACCCCCCCTACAATTTTTTTTTTTTTGCTATATACGTGAAATAAACGCGCAATTTCGAAAGCGATTCAGCAGAAAAACTGTACTCTAATTGGAAAGAGCCGTTGAGTAATTGTCCGGAGAATTGGTCAACTTTGAGCGAAAGTAATTTTTTTTTTTTTTTTTTTTGCCTAAAAGGATGAATTCGATAAGAGTAAAAAAAAGAAAAAAAATTTGCCTTGAAAAGGAGAAAAATGATTTTAAAGCAGAACAAAATTGGTAAAAAAGAAAGTTGCTTGATCCTTGCGGATGTGGGCAAAAGCGGTGGTGAAAAATCTGGCATGAAAAAGAAAAAGACATTAGTATTAGAGAGAAGATGAAGCATCAATAACTGGAGCATTTATAAATCTGTGTGTGTGTGTGTATGTATAAAGATTCTTAGCTTTTGTAATCGTGTGAAAAGGGCCTTCCTCCCCCCCATCTTCTGTCATCCAGGAGAGGATCGGAAGTATTAAGAAGACAATTTCCGTAGATTATTCTTTGCGACGCGAATGGAATACGGGTAAAGGAGCCAGTTATTTTCGTGAGCAGTTTTTCGAGTTGGCGCCGATTCTTTGATCAATAATTGGTGAAACACTTTTCCTATAGGTGGCACAAGTTATCAAACAGCTTCGCGAGCTTTTATCCTGGCTTACAAGCTTGCCGAGATTCTCGTCCGAGGGAACCACTCGGCAAAAATTTTCAAATTTTTTATTTTTTTATTCATATTTTTTTAAAAATAATTTTATTAATTTTTTTAATTTATTATTATTTATTAACTAAGTTAATAAGTTAATAAGTTAACTAAGTAACTAAGTTAGAAATTAATTAATTAGTAATTAATGTACATAAATTATTAGAAGTAACAAATTTATTTATTTATAACAAACAAATGTGTTTTTAGTGTTTATTATTTATGAATTATTAATTAAATAATCAATTGATTAATTAATCAAATTTTCATATAATTTTACATTATTATAAATCAATAACGCGTTAATTTGAAAAGTTTCTAAAAAGTTTTGAAACGTGTTATTGTTTGAAAAATGGTAATCAAAAAATAAATGTGATAAAAAGAAAGTAATGAGAAAAAGTTGATTTCTATGACGAAATTGAAAAGACTTGTCGATAAGGAAGACGTCAGTCTTGAAAAATTGTTTTAATTTTCACATTGTGGAATATTTTTTTTTTTTTTTTTGGTTAAGGAGATTTAAAAAAGTCAAAATGGTACCTCTAATAAATTATTAATTAAAAAAATAATTAAACAAATAACTAAATAAATCAATGAATAAATAATCAAAAAAAAAAAATTAGTAACTAAGTAAATAACTAAATAAATAACAAAATAAAGAACCAAGTAACTAAATAAATAACTAAATAAATAAATGAATAAATAACCAAATAAAAAAATTAATAACTAAATAAATAAATAAAAAAATAAAGAACCAAGTAACTAAATAAATAACCAAATAAGTAACTAAATAAATAAATAACTAAATAAGTAAGTAAATAAATAAATGAATAAATAACCAAATAAAAAAATTAGTAACTAAGTAAATAACTAAATAAGTAACTAAATAAATAACTACAAAAAATAACTAAATAAATGGCTAAATAAATAAATAAATAACAAAATAAAGAACCAAATAACTAAATAAATAACCAAATAAGTAACTAAATAAACAAGTAAATAAATAACTAAACAAATAACCAAATAAGTAACTAAAAAAATAACTAAATAAATAACTAAATAAATAACTAAGTAAGTAACTAAATAAATAAATGAATAAACAACGAAATAAAAAGAAATAACTAATACCAATTATTAATTTATCAAAGAACCATAATGAAATAAACATAAATTACAAATAAATCACCGACATTTTTTTTTAATTAAAATCTTATTAGCCATCACGAAAATTATTTTCATTTGTAAATTTTTGAGAAATTTAACATTAGTTTCATATCATTTCGAGGCTATATACTATAAAATGTATAAACGAGGAAATTAAATTTCGCTGATATGCACAATAATTGTACCTATACACATATAATGAAATTGAAATGTTTCTCGCGGTTAATGAAATTTAACATTAGTTTTAAGGGTGCAAGTTTAGGTATTTTATATATATATATATATACCTTTTTGTAATGAAGAGAATGAGGAAAGAGAGAGAAAGAGAGGAAGTAAGTCAAGGATCAATCCCCAGGACAAACGTTAGTAGCCCTCGACTTATCGCGAAAGCTTGTCTGACCTTAACACTGATTGGTCGATACCCGAAAATAGCAGGGCGCCTATCAGATAAGGGTGGCTTATTTATAAATCTCCCACTTATTACAATGCATTTATATACTCACAGTTATTGTACGTTTTCTAGTTTATCATACACACATATAAAATTCCTCCTCTTCTCTTTTCAGGTCATTTAAAAGTGTAGCTAAACTACAATATATATTTATATACATATATATTTTTTCCCTTCAATTCAAACTTCCTGTTGTGAGAAAAGCAATTCATTGATTGTTCTTTCATTAATTGTTTTCTATAATAATATATTTAACCAAATTTAATTAGAATATAATTATTATTATTTTATTTATTCTTAAAAAAAATTAACAAATTAATTAAAAAATTTATTTAGCTGAATTTTAAATCAAATTTTTATTTAGCATCATTTTTCATTTAGCTGAATTTTCTGTTAATCAAATTTTTTCCCTAGGAAAATTATTACTTACCATCATCATATTTAGCTGAATTTTCATTTAACGGAATTTTTATTTAGAGAAATTATTAATTAGTCCCATTTTTATTTAGCTAAATTTTTATTTAACCAAATTTTTTATGAATCGAATTTTTTCTTAGTCAAATTATTATTTAGTTGAATTTTTCATTTAGCAGAATTTTTATTTAAATCGAAATTTTATTTAGAAAAATTATTATTTACCATCATATTTAGCTGAATTTTCAAATTTTTATTTAACCAAATTTTTTATGAATCGAATTTTTTCTTAGTCAAATTATTATTTACTTGAATTTTTCATTTAGCAGAATTTTTATTTAAATCGAAATTTTATTTAGCAAAATTATTATTTACCATCATATTTAGCTGAATTTTCATTTAACGGAATTTTTATTTAAAGAAATTATTAATTAGTCCCATTTTTATTTAGCTAAATTTTTATTTAACCAAATTTTTTATAAATCAAATTTTTTCTTAGCCAATTTATTATTTAGCTGAATTTTTCATTTAGCAGAATTTTTATTTAATCGAATTTTTATGTAAATCGAAATTTTATTTA